GTGGGCGGTTGGCGGGTGCTCTGGTGTGGTTTGCTTCTTCTTTCCTATCAAACATCTATCGTCCTTATCTCCCCTTCTTCTTTTTAAAGTTTGTTACTCTCTTGTAAAACCTCTACTAAATCTAAACTCTGGCACTTTGTACTGTGTATCAGTTTGTGTCTCTGGTGTAGCAGTTACGCTATTTGTCGTTACATCTAGACTGAATTCAATTCTCGTATGATAAAAGATTGGGTTCTTTTTTAAGGTCGAATAACGCCATCTATCTGCTTTAATACCGTATCCCACTCTGCCTGCGTGACCCTGGCAGTCCTAAGTGATCTAAATTAGGCCTTATAACAAAAAATAAGAATGAATACAGGGACGCTGTAAATGTATTTACAAATCGGTGTGATAACCACTTCCTTTTTACTAAATGTAAAAAAGACGAAGGAATTAATAATTGACTTTAGAGTAAAAAAAGACCAATTGCAACCATTATTTATTAAAGATGAGGACGTGGAGGTAGTAAGCTCTTACAAGTATCTTGACGGAACAATCGAAAACAAACTTGACTCATGACTGGCATCCCCACGCTGTTCTTGTGCATAAAAAGGTAAATCAAAGAAGTTTCCGTGTTGATAATACGATTATGTCCCTTTTGTGCCAGTCTATGATCGAAAGCGTGCTATAATTTTGTATTTGCTGCTGGGCTGGGAATTGTAAGGTGAAAGATTCTGAAAAAATTGACAGAACCATTAAGAAAGCCAGCACGATATCTGGAAATGGTTTTACTAGAATTGATGAAATGTATAACACCACAATCATAAAAAAGATAAAAAGCATTATGACCCATCACTCCACCTTTCCAAGCAAATTGTAAGATCACGCAGGGGCAGATATGTACCTCCAAAAACAAAGAAAGACAGATATAAAAGAAGTTTTTTTACCGTCTAGCAAAAGGCTATTGTCAGAATAAGCATAATGTGTATTGCTCTTAAGAGTATGCATCTACTAGTTCCAGAGGTCTTGTAATCAAATTCCTGCATGTGGTTGAATGAAGTATCTGATGTGATATGAATATTTTGTCAGCTTTACTTCTCTTTTCATGTTGAATTTTAAGGAGAGTAATATATAATTTAGTTTTTTTTTAATGTACACCTGCATGTGTTTTTATGGTTCTGTTCAGCCAAGAAAAATTTCTCTCTGGGATAATAAAGTATTATCGTATCTTATCTTATCTTATCTTATCTTATCTTAATTGTGTCGATGAAGGCGTAACACATTAGTACATTTTTAAAAACTTAAAAAAAACCAAAACAAAAACAACAGAAAAAAATAACCCTAAAACCACATCACCTGTTATCCCCAGCGCTCGCCAAGGACGTATAGCAGACTCAGGAGGTGACGGCATGGGGTCACGGGGTCGTCCAGGATCGCGCCGCAGGGACAGAGACCGAGGTCGTGGGGGTCGGAACAGAGGACGAGGACGCGGGAACGCGAGGAGAATTCCCAACGGACCGCCCACCAGATTGGACAGACGCACGATGGGACTGGTGTACCGGCTGTCCAACGCCAGCACACCATTCGCCCTCTCCCTGTTTGCAAAATTACATCCACAGCTAATGACAAACGCAGTATTTTCGCCTCTCAGTGTGCACACCGCCATGACAATGACGTCAATCGGCGCAAGGGGGAGAACTCAACGGGAGATGTTCCGGTCTCTAGGCAGGTCTCCCAATTGTATTGAACTCCTTTGAATGTTCAAGTCTCATCAATTCTTCACCTTGCTTCTGGTCTGAACAACAACAACAACAGCAACAACAACAACAACAACAACAACAACAATAACAACAACAACAACAACAACAACAACGACAACAACAACAACAAACGCAAATATTAAGGAACATCATATCTCTTCCGGGATATGTGTATACGAGATCACTAGCATCCTCAGCATACAATTATAACAATAAATCAAAGGAAAGTCTTCATAACACAATTGGTGTCTTATAAAGCTGTGTCGACGAGGTTAACTCAAACTGATTTCAAAACCTGACGTCCTTACTTATCTTATATACTCTATATTGCTGTGATTCCTTTCCTCAAATACTCGAGTTTAAATTAACTAACTAGTAACATCTGGTGTCTAAACTTTCTCCAAATACAACAAAAGCCTAAACTGACGCCGGTCCTCCTTGTCCCCAGGTCTGAGACGAGCCAGGCTTCGCCGTAGGCGTGAGCACCGTGCCTACCACGCCTTGCTGACGTCACTGTCCTACACCCACAGAGATGTGCATGTATCAAGTGCAAACGCCGTTTTTGTCAAGCCAAATATACCGCTGGAAGATGCGTTCAGGTATGGTTTATATGAAATGCAGAGTGGTGAAATCAAGCGCTCGTCAAAGTAAAGAAATCGGAGAAAGAAGCGTTTTTCGGCCAGTTTGGAATTTTTGTTTTTTGGCCCAACTCCTTGTTTGTCCATTTTGAAACACTTTTACTATTTTTGAATTTTATGGGACAACGTTGATTAAAGGCACACAGTTTCCAAGGACTCTTGAGCTATGGAAGTAACCAAACTTTGGCGGTCATTTTCTCGCTAATTTTACTTCTGAAACCAGGCGACCCCATCTCCTTCAATCGCAAATATCTCGACTTGTATTCAAGATAAATTGATATTTTTTTCACTTAAAGCATGGAAAATGAACAACCTAAGATGATACCAATAAATCGATATGCCCCAAATTGACGAGCGCCTGATTCCACCTCGTCGTGAAACATATTGCTTCTGTGGTGTAGCGGCTATGCGCCTCGCCGTCACAACACGCAAATTACCTGACTATGATTCCTGGTGTAGGGAGATTTTTAAAATATCAAATATCTCGGAGTTTCCGCTGGGTTATTTGTATTTCTTTCAGCCCGGTCAGAGCCCACCTCTGAAATGATCTAAATTGTGCGGATGGGCATAATAACATATACATTAAAATAAAACATAATTTACGGATTATGGATTTGTTGCAAAGTAGCTCACTTTAGACGTCTTCTGTCTTTGTTTGGATGTTTAAAAAAAAATTGTGTTCACAGTTAAAGTTTAACTTAAACTAGAAACCTATATAAAAATAAGTAGACGTTTACCTCACATTGGTGGTAGTCTTCTTGCGCATCCAGTATTCAGTAATCAAGCCAGCATAACTTTTTTCCGGAACAGTATAAGACAAGTCGAAATGGTGTTGAACTAACATGAAGATAATTATTGCTAAAACTCTTTAACCCCTCCTCTCTTAGGCTTTTAGCATTCCTGTTTCTCATATGCGGGTTACTTTTTGATAGGCCTACTCCGATTTTGTCTGCATTCTCACTCCTTTTTTTATTTTAATGTAATGGTTCTTTGGCAAATGTCAAGTTGAAGTCCTCATTTGGAACGTCCTTGACCCAACTGCGAATACTTAAGGTCTCCATTGTTCATTGTGCCAATATAAGAATAGCTTCAACATCAAGCTCAAAAGATGATTTTAACATAATATTCTATGATAGGGGACCATATTTAACTAGAACTTTACGGGTTTTATCATCCTAATCCTGAACTAGAAACGTGTCAGGATGATTTCGCTGTAAGCCACATTTCGTCAACTGATAGTGACCTCTAAGTCTAAGAAAAAAATAAGATCTTTGTTTTGATCTCAGATATGCAAACTCCCGGAACGAGACTCATTCACCTGATCTCATTTTTGGTTGCTTTTTTCCCGGTGTCAGATTTCTAAATGGTGTAATGAATGCGTCAAGAATAGCTTTTTTATTTGAGGTGGGGGGGGGGGGGGTCAAAACATTTACAATACTCTATTTAAAATATGCATGCTGTGCACGTTTCAGTACGATGTGTCTTGTGACTTTCAAACTTCTAGATAACTTACTGTTATTGTTATTTTTCAAAAACAGGCAACAGGTCCAACAGATGTATTTGGCCAAATTTGACACGTTCAGCTTGAGGAACCCAGACAACCCTTCACCACTGGGTTGCACCGCGACAGGGGGAAGATCCGAGCCTTGTTCGCCCCCGGTTCATAAGGGCGTCCCCCCTCTATGTTCTGGTCAATCCCTTCTACCTGAACGCCAGCTGGCCCTACCCGTTTGACCGCGGAAGGACGTCCCTACAAGAGTTCCAGCCTGCAAATAGTGCCCCGAGAAATATGCAAATGATGTCAAATACGCAGGTTTCACAGGGTTTGTCTGTCATGAAAACCCCCCCAAAATAACCACCCCCCCCCCCAAAAAAATCCCCACAAAAAAAAACACAAAACCCCCCCAAAAGACAGCAACAACCAAACGTACCAAACAAATCAAAACCAAAAACTCCCCTTAAGAAGCCCCCACCCCACCCAAAAACCCAACAACAACAAGAACTACAACAGCAGCAACAAAAAGAACAATCCCTCCCCCCCCCCCCCCCACACAAAGCAAAGTACACCATCATGTAACAACAGTAATACATGACACGTTTCTGTTGAAACTCAAATCCCTGACAAAGACGGTATGCTATTTTTCATAGCTTACAATTTCTTCCTCACATGAAACAAAATATCTACTTATAGAAGAGAACAATTTAGGCGTTACTCGAAATCGAAACACGAATCTTATGCGTTTTACTCCAATTTTGGGGGAAAAATCAATACAAAATAATAGAGTTACTCGACCCAATTTTCAAAATACCGAGTTGCTATAAGTCTGAATAATGATAATAAAAGCAGTATTAGGCCCGGTAACTATAATGATCACAATATTTTAATGTTAGAGTTTTAAAAAGGTGTCACAACTATTAGAATTTAAGAAGGTGTTTGTTGCGTTTTATGGTAAATACAATGTTGGTACTTTACGGATCACCCTTCATTGTCAAGCTCTATGCGGATGAAAAACTAAAACTAAAATCTGTTCTGAAATAAAGACAACAATTCAAAGTGTATTCAAACAAGTACAAACACACATAGACAAACACACACACACACACACACACACACACACACACACACACACACACACACACACACACACACACGAACAGACGAACACAGACATTTACACTCATAAACACACACATTTACACACAAACACATACTTGTATCCACAAACATACTCTGTCTTACACATACATAAATCACACATACGAACACTCACACACACATACACACACACACTCACACACTCTCTCTCTCTCTCTCTCTCTCTCTCTCTCTCTCTCTCTCTCTCTTTCTTATGCAAAGACACAGATACAAACACACACTATTCTCTCTTTCTTTCTCTCTCTCTCTCTCTCTCTCTCTCTCTCTCTCTCTCTCTCTCTCTCT